ACTAAATGTGTGTACGGAATGATTTTAAACCGGACGACAAAAGTTAGACTAGACAGATAATGTATGAAATGCCTGTTTTCGGTGCTTGCATCTCAATGGTCAATACGGGATCAGTTACTATTCTTATAATATTATTTTGAGGTGGTTGGCTAAATAAGTGGTGTTAGGCGTTTTCACTAGAATAACTTGGTCCCTAGAGTTCGCGGTATGAACCTTGCCATAGCCACCAAATTGCGGTGGTGGGTAGCTTTATTGTACAGCCCAAAACGAGACTTGTTCTGTTGTGGCATTATGTGATTCGCCAATCCCAGGGCTTACTCACATTTAACTCACAATTACTTATGAGTAGTAGTGTAGAATAAATAAAATTGACTTGGACCGAGCATTGTTTATACTGCATCTTCGCGTATACAATCTTCAATTCATTCAATTAGCCATCCAGTCTGAAAATTTTACTCTTGTTAGAGTTAATCAGTAGAGAATATCGAATTGCCCGACGGGATTGAAACTCTGGATATCGGGCATGACAGGCGCGTTATTAACGCGAGAACACAATCTTAGTTCGCATCGGATTCGGTTATTTGGGAAACACGGTGGGCAGGTGCCCTGATAAGCTCCAACACGAGCTACTACGACCTGGCTGTATGGTTGACTGATTTTTGTGAGTAAATGTGAAGTCTGAAGGATGGCCAGTACAAAGCAATCCCATAGCCTGGCGTACTAGTTATTAAAAGTGAACAGTTGGTCCTCGTGACTGTGGGTTTTGCCTTTCACAAGAGCATTTCTGTCTATGACACTGGATAGACTAGTCCCAGATCTCCAACCGAGAAGCCTAACGTCACCTACCTGATCAAGTGCCCTTTTCAAGGTCTTTATACTCGTACGCCTATTCATGGTCTAACAATCCATGTTTCTTCCATCTAATACCTGACTCCGCAAATATTGGAGACGGGAAGAATGAACGGAATAACTGGATCATGTGAATCAACGCTGTTGCCTTCCAGTTCGCGCTCGGCTGTACAAAGGCTACACTGCATTCTCAAAACAGACCGTTTTTGGACTGGGCAGCCGAGTAGTACAACAGACCGTGAAGCCAACTAAAACACGAAACTTTCTCAAACATCCAATGCTACATACAGAACTACAAACTACTCTACAACGCATACATCGCCTCCCTTCTAGTTCCACTTAGCCCCAACCCCTCACACCTTTCGCTTCTCTCAGGAACTTCAGACGACTGTAATAATCGTAGCATCTTGCATGGAAATACAGGTGCTGCTCCCCCGTGTCCTATCACGAACACCGCTTAGGTGCCATCAATTACTTTGTTAGCAGGAGCGCTTCGCTGTCTCAGAAGCCCCTTCAAACTACAGATGTTTAATGTGTGAACCCCGATGTGTAGGACCATAGACGTGTCTAGCTCACACGATCGAGACCCTAACAATCGATGCGTGTTGTATCCAAGAGACGCGCATTCAGGATTCGACCTTCCTCGTCTGATTGACGCCCCCATCCGAACCAAGTTTCAATTACGCCTCTATGGGAACCCTTTGACTGCGGTCTCTGATCTTGCTGGAATTGGCGTGACTCTTAGTGAGCGAGCTCAAGCGAGGCTCTTAGACTGGATCTTAGTCGATAATCGGTTGTACTAAGTGAGCAGCCGTGGACCATATGGACGCGAGTTGTTTGTCGTCTTAGTGTACGCTCTCACAGAATACAGCCCAGATGTGGTTAAAGAAAACTTTTACCAAAAGCTACACAATTTCTTGCATAAGGAAAGTCGGGTAGATAATGATATTAACAGGAGGTATGAATGCTACAGTATGCTGGCTCTTTTCGAGCCAAGCACATTTGCCAGGTCCATCAGGGCTTGATTCCTGGTATTCGGAAAACGGCTGTTGGCTTTATGTTCTGACTATCACTATTAACGCTATTAACGACGGGAGTGCATGCAAAACTACCGATCGCAAAGTAACACCGTCCTGGAATGCCATCACGCATTAGTTCGCACTTTGTTGTTCAAGTGATTGTGTGGGCGTTACAAAAAGAACGACACGACGGTTAGATTAAGATCAGCTGACTCAAGCAGTGCGCTTAACTACCTCTCAAAACGCGCCAGCTAAACACTAGAATCAAGCAGCACTGGTCGTTTACCAAGATTGCCCTGCATTCTGCAGGCATAGTAAGTTGTGCCCTGACACACCGGATTTCGGATGAATCTCTGCTCCTTTCCGACAAACACTAATCAATCCCGGCCGGTAGCGACTCGTAACGAGAAATGAGCTCAACAGTCTGAGTTGATCATAAGGCAGGATCGACAGGACTGCTACCTCATAACATCGTATTGACAGGGCCGGTGACAATTTTAACACAGGATGTGATAAAAAATGAATTCCGCTTTGCTATTCTTTGCAATAGGGCGATGACCAACGCTGACCAACGTCCTGTTTCCGTTCAGCGCACAAAACTGGTCATCAGGGGAACTAAAGAACACTTAATTGAGAAGAGTGCGCATCCACACATACGAGGTGGGAATGACCCGTGCAAAGTTATATATATATATATATAACTTTGCACGG